GTCGTCGATCTCCACTCGATTGTGATTCATGAGTGACTGTATGGACCTCGCTCGTGTGCAGTAGAATTTGAAGTCTTCGTTGGAAGACATGCGTAGCGTGAGAATCCTTTCGCGCAGTTTATCGTTCCAGTCAGAGGGCAAGGCGGTGCGAAATAGGCGTTCTTTGAAGGAATCCCAAGACATGGACTTGAAGGCGTCGATGTTGTGCGCCCAGAACGCCTGAAGATTGGTCTCGAGTAAGTAGGAACCAGTAAGAATAATACGGTCCGCGTCCTTTTCCACCTTCTTCACAAGGAAAAATATCTTTAGAGATGTGAACTATCTCAAAAAACCCTTGGTGTCTCGGTAGGGACCCTTAAACTGCGGCCCATCGGACGACTTGAATCGCGTAAGATCGAGGCCGCGATCATCTCGTGCTGTGGCAGGAGCAGGGGAAGGAGGTTGAGGTGGTGATTGGCTCGCCGCGTTCAGTTGGAATTGCAAAAGTCGCTCTTCCAAACCAGCGATTCGCTCTTCGGCTTCACGAGCAGCCGCGATGCGGTCTTGTTCCAATTTGGCGTGACGTTCTGCCGCTTCGTTGGCCTCCTGTATGCCGGCAGTTTGGGCAATCATCATCGCACAAAGTAGGTCTTGAGTGGACGGCTGGGTCTCGTGGGAGAGATGCGGTATCAGTCTTTCTCTGAGACTACCTGAGAGAAGCAGTGAGACATACAGGTATAGTTCAATCCCGGTCTGTGTGGCGCGTTTTTTTTTGCATGGCGCTTCCTTCTCTTTATAAGCCTTCCACCAACTACAGAACATCTAGACATCCATTGGTCAATTTCATTGGTCAAAAATAATACATACAAAAGACGATCGAGTTGATAAAATGCAAAATGAGATGTCTTGAAAAGCAGAAGTTGGAAGCATTTTAGGTTGGTTGAAAAGAAGTGATATCGAGTCCTTTTCGTGAAGATTATACATACAAAGAGACAGTTTGAAAAGATGGCGACTGAGTCGTTTTTGAAGAAATCAAGACAACGCAACAGATAGAAACCTCTTACATCAAAGTATCTCGCTCCGATGACAATGCATTGTTTTTCTTGTATCGGTTTTGCTTGCTACTTTCATTCAAAGTAGCTTGTTCCAATAACATTTTGTTGTTTTGTAAGTTGCTTCATTATCAATACTTTGATATGTAAGTGGTTGTAGCGATAGAACCCCCTTGACAATGTTTCAGGGGGATTGGAGTGAGTCTGAAGGTATAGATATAAGGTGCACCTGGATGACTCGACAAAGGTTCTTGATTCTTGATGAGGTTATCGAAGTGTTAACAGCTTCTTTGAAGTCTTAATGATGAATTTGTTCAAGTCTTCATACATATGTACCAGTTGCCACCAGCCTGTACAGACAGTGTACAAAAAGCCACCATCCGGTTTACTTTTTTGTTTGTCTCAGGATAGTCTCAGAGCGAGTTAGTCTCAGAAAAAGACTGATACGGTTACGCTCCCGGTCTCGTCATCGTCAGGCTTACTCGTCATGGTATTGCTGTTGTGTAATGGAGAGGAACGCATCGATTGTGATCTGGCTAGGAGATCTTGCCGGAGTCGTGTTTCTTCCAGTTGAAGACGGGACACTCGAGATCGGGCCGGGGCAGGACTGGCTGGGAATGCTCCCGGCAACAAAGTAGATCGTGGTGGGGTAGAAGGTAGGATATAGGGTCTTTCAGATGCGGGGATCAGCTTGGGGGGTATGTTAGCGAAGAGGACTCTATTGGTGTCGCATCTCCCCGTCTCTTCGATGGAACGATGATGAAAATGTGGGGAAGGCGTATTCGAGAGGCGGATGATGCTCTCGGGATCGTCTATCCCGGGTAGAAGATTGGTAGAGTCGCTGCGGGTCGAAGGTGGGGGGGTCATGCAGGTGTGTATCACGTACAAAGTGATGAACAAGATTGGTATAATCGAGAACGAGAAAACGTTTGAGCCGAATTTAGAAAATCCGGGGTCGTTGTAAGAACTGAGTTCTTCTGAAGGAATAAGAACAACCGTTCTTCTGAAGTGAAGGTTTGAGAAAAAAAAAGTGTAAAGGACTAATAGTCCTCACTCGAAGGAATCTCTTGAAGGGTCTTTCTCGGAGGGAACTGAGGATCAAATGCCACGTAGTGGACTTTGGAGTTTCTAGAACCAACGTATAACTTATATTTCTAGCTCTAGCTCCAAAGATAATGAATACGAGATCAGCTCGAATTCCCTAAGGGAATGAGAAATACAATGATGATGAAATGAAATAGAAAGAAAGTATATATAGCAAGTGCTCACCTAGCTCCAAAGATAATGAATACGAGATCAGCTCGAATTCCCTAAGGAGCCAGGATTGCGTGCGAGGAAACAGAATGAAATATGAAAAGCGGTTAAGTCTTAAGTCTAGGTATCTGTACTACTAAGTAATGATGTGTACATCATTACATGGAGATGCTCTCAGGCTTCAGATCGGTCAAGACACGCTGTACAGAAAGCTGTACAGCCATTGTCTCCCGTTGTCTCCCGTCGAGACTGATACGGCTACTCTCCGGAAGCCGATTCTGGGAGTGAGCACTGACGTGCTATCGTACTATCTGCTATAATCGCGGTGTAAATATCACACTCCACCGTGTCAGAGCCCATGCGAGACACGTTCACGTTGTCTGACAGGAGCTAGACTTTTCCATTTATCTGACCGGGATCCAAAATTTGATAGTACTGTCGTTCCCAAAATGCTTGCCACATCGACCATTTTTTAATCGAGCTGGTGGTCCGTGCGCGCTGTCAGAAACAGACAAGAGAAGTGATCACGCAAGAGGAAAAGAACCTCCCTGTCACAAGATTCCATAGCCTTGAAAGAGAGAGAGGGAACCCTCTTTTTGGAAACCCCGACATGAGATTTTTTCCTCTTTTCCTCGCCCTCTTCCTCTTCCCACTCATCATCCACATCATCACTTCATCAATTTCAAGAATCTAAAAATCATTAAGAATGGTACCAAATTTCAAGTCTTTGTGATACGATTTTTGATTTTTGATTATCGTTTCAAAGAGTTTTTAACTTCGCAATAAACACTTGAATAGAAATGAATTTGTTTGTCAATTGTTGGTTATGGGCTCTTTGACTTCACCTTTGATCTTGTGTCGAGTAGAAACTTCTGCTGAAAATCGTGTTGATAAATGATCGATCGATAATTTATCTTACAAAAGAACTTGTAATTTATCTTGTTATTTAAAGATTCCATCAATTTTGGATTTTCATTGAAATACAAAGGTTGGTTTGTCTTCTTTTTCAAAATGTTTATCGATTGATTTTGAATTTGCCTTGTTATTCAAAAGTTCAATCGATTTTGGATTGTCTGAAATTAAAATGTGATTTGTCCTCTTTTTATAAATTTTAATCGATCCTCAAAATGAGAAAGTGGTAAAGATATTTCTCCAAGTTTGTCATTTAATTGGCAACTTCTTAACATCAAACTTGGTCCAATGTTATCAAAGCTTTGAAACATTTGATAATAGACCTAAAGTCAAAGGTTTTCTCATTTTTAAGAAGATGATCGGAAGCTTATATATATCGGTTCTCAAGCCAGACGAGAAGAAGGACATATGTTGATTTTATGATATCAAAAATTCAAAGAGCTTGTGATTCTTTATGAAATGAGATTTTACAAAGTTTCTTTTTCAAATGAAATTTTTTGGTTGTTTGTTATCACCAAAAAGAAACAAGGTAAGGAAGACATATGGTTGATTCTTATCAAAAACATGAATCAAGGTTATCCAATGATTTTACAAAAAGAAAGAAGCATTTCCTTGTGCGTAGAACCCACATCCCGAGTAGAGAGAACAGTTTTGTAGAAATCGGATCGGTTAAAATTGAAATCAAGACTAATTACCAAACCTCGAGTTGGATCGATCCCAGTAGTGGGAAGTTGTGTATCCACTGTTTGCCATAGCTGTACCTGGTTCAAGACCGTATTCAACGAGATTCTTGAAATTGATGAAGTGATGATGTGGATGATGAGTGGGAAGAGGGAGAGGGCGAGGAAAAGAGGAAAAAATCTCATGTCGGGGTTTCCAAAAAGAGGGTTCCCTCTCTCTCTTTCAAGGCTATGGAATCTTGTGACAGGGAGGTTCTTTTCCTCTTGCGTGATCACTTCTCTTGTCTGTTTCTGACAGCGCGCACGGACCACCAGCTCGATTAAAAAATGGTCGATGTTCAGCCCGAGCCCCGATCGCTACCCGTCGAGTAGTGGCTTGCCCGGCCCCCGAACCGACGGGTAGAGAGACCTCCCAAGCCCGTTCGGGGGTCCCCGAACGAGTTTTTTTTGAAAAATTGTCTGCCCGAACCCCGACCGGGTTCCCCGCCGGGGACTCGCTGGCTGGACCAAAAAGGGTCCCTCACCCAGGTTTGAACACCGGACCGGGTCATTTATCGATATTGATGCCAAATACATTGAAAAAAAGTGTCCACTTGATGTTTAAATTGCACTCAGGGCCTCACATCACAGCCATGGCAGTGCTGGCAAGGTTCCCATATGCTTGGTAGGGCCTCCCCTGACAATGGACTAGGTAGTTTTTACCTGTGATGGAGTGTTTTAAATACATTTTTTACTCGTCGGGTACCCGGCGGATAGTATTTTTTTCGATTTCTACGCCCGACACCCGACTCGCGGGGATCCCCGATCATCGGGGGCTGATCTTTCTTTCGCCCCGGGTCAACCATTCATGCAAATTCAGGCCCCCGGGCCACCATGAGTAGCAAGCGTGTCAAATTGCCAAACGAACCCAGCAACTGATTCCGCACGGACCACCAGCTCGATTAAAAAATAGTCGATGTGGCAAGCATTTTGGGAACGACAGTAACGCAAAAACTATTTTGAGGACTTTGTCAACGCGAGCGACATCGTGAGACTTTGTTAATTTTACGCCGCAGGGTATACATTCGTAGATTTGAATTTATAACTCTCACTTCGGGAGTAAACATGTCAAAGTCCCTCCCTCCTCGACGACCCGCGAGGAATGGACTTTGATAGATTTACTTAGATTGGTAGGGACTTTAAGTCTTTCTTCATCTTCCCTCGTCGCTCTCTCTGCAGTGAAGTGTGATTTCTGTCAACATCAACTTTGAACCATCCCGGAAGATCTTCTACTCAAATTCTGATATTCAAACGCCTTTTTGGTTGATCCCTGTCACCTCCATAAGGCTATATTATCATTCCGAAGATGAAGATGAATCTTGCAGTCAACGCGATGATGGCTTTTGGGAACTTCTGTGCAGTAAACTCTTCTCAGCGCGACGCAATTAGCAAGAATCATGCACGAAGGCAGAACGATCACGTCACATTGAACTCACCAGAACTAAATCTGAGTCCGGATTTTGTGATTACCTCAACGCCTCAAACTCGCAACTATGTTTTTGAAATAACTGAAGAGATAGCAGCCATGGATGGCTTTGAAAGGTAAGTAGCGACCATAATCACATGCGGAACGCTGTAATTGACGAATGGCCAACATTGTTTCTTAATTGCACCAGACGCGTACTGGTGATCAACAGGCAATTTCCTGGTCCACTTATTGAGGCGAACGACGTAAGTCACAACACTATCCACTGGTACACGAGAAAACTGACCGCCTTGCGCCGTACGGTAGGGTGACACGCTCGATATCCTCGTGAAGAACCACATCACACAGCCTGTGGCAATCCATTGGCATGGGATATGGCAAAAGGGAACACCTTGGGCAAGTATTACCCCAAGATTTCAGCTGAACTAGAGATGATACATATACTGACTGCGCACACGGATGTCGTTCTGGGTCAATCAGATGGACGGGGTTTCAGGTGAAGATAACTTTTCAATTGTTTGAAGGTTGCTAATGTGATGTCCCTTAAGCTGACTAGCTAGCCTGTTGCATTGGCAGGTGTGACACAATGTCCTATCCCGGCGGGTGCCTCGTTCACATATTCTTTCAAAATTGATGACCAATTCGGCACATTCTGTACGTTGATCATAATTTCTGGTTTCTTGGGCTCGTCTTTTTTTGACACATTAGGACTCATCTGTCGCCAAAATCATTGGTTTTAACTTTTTACCCCTTGATTGGTAACATATCCATGCGATAAGGGTACCACGTAAGCCAAGGCGGTTTATTTGTTTGCAATAAAATTGGGGTGTCTGTATTGATTCCATTTCATGTACCACAGGCACACTCTCAAAACCTCGCCGCTGATGGTCTGATGGGTCCACTGATAGTCCATTCTGTCAATGATCCGTTGAAAAGAGGAAGAGACTATGATAATGATATTGTCTTAATGTACACGTAAGCCGACTTTCTTGAATAACCAATCGTTATATAGTCACTGACTATATCATAATATCTTGTTGCAGCGATTGGTACCACGAGTTTAGTTCGCTTGTACTCCTCTCGAAGTATCTCCAATTTTTCTGAATTTTCCTGTTCCCAAACGAGCAGATTGAGTACGGTGATGTTGAATGCTCAAATATCTCCTGAGCTATACAATGGGAGCTGGGCAGGGCCATCTCCCAACTCGGGTAAGGTCCTATTTTTACACTCGGATGTGGTGATATTATGGTTGCTGACCTCATGTTTTCCAACCCTTAGCTTTGGTTAATGGAATAGGTTATTTTGACTGTGCAAACGCAGAATCCGGGTCCACTTGCAAGCAGAACAATATAAACTTGGAATTGAAAGTCGCTCCCAATGAGAAAACGAGGATACGCCTGATACAGGGCGCAGCACATGCCATGTTTAGATTTTCAGTTGATGGACATCCCCTGAAAATAATTGAGACCGACGCTACTGGTGTAAATGGTCCATCCCAGATACATCGATTACCTTTCCATGCGGGACAAAGGTCACTATCCTTTCAGGCCTCACCCTAAGACATCTTACAGAAATTTGCCGTCTTGTTTCCCTCACAGGTACAGCGTGATCTTAGACACCTCCAATGATCAAGTTGGCTCATCTTTCTTACTGAGATCGGTAATGGACCCAGATTGTTGTAAGTGCATATTTTTGAGGCTTTTGCATATTCCCGTCAAATTGACTTTCCTTGTCTAAACTTGCAGTTGCATGGCGTACGCGTATTTTTCTTTCTCACTCATCATCAAGAGATTACAAGGGGAGGAATGAAACATGTCTGATGCGATTGAGGTTTTCAGTTGCTCCCGGAATAGAGGGTCGCGCTCGTAGTGTAATCGCAGTCGTGCAAGTAGTGGCGAAAGAGGAAAAAGGTAGATGTGGCTGCTCAAGTAGCGATACTCCCAACACGCCAGATCAAGAAAACGAGCCAGTCGGAGGCCCATGCGTAGATGTTGAAGGTGATCTCACACCTCTGATGCCAAAGAGCGTACCGAACGTGACACTTGGAAAGGTTGGCAGAATTCTTGGGTGTTTTGAAAGGCTGTGATTTAGACTTATATCTTCTTGTTCTAACTCACGTACTTGTAGCGCATACTAGACACAACTTTTGGTACGATTGGCTACCCTGACCCCAAAAATGCATCTCATAGGCTGAGGGTTGGGCGTTTTTTTGTAAACGAAGTTCCCTGGGGAGGTGAGTTCACTTCAAGATCTCTCGAGAGTAATGATTAAGTAGGGCACTGACTTCAGTCATCTTCTCACAACCAACCTGTGCTTCTTTTCTTTTGATTCTTGAATCTATATAGCCCACGTCTTCAAGCCCTTACTAGCTCAGATGATGAAAGGTGGGAATGGAAAGTTGAATGAAACCGAGGTCGGTTTTGTCACGCTGGAGGAGCCGGGTTGGTATGACATCGTCATAAATAATTTGGATCAGGGATTAGATCACCCATATCATCTGCATGGTGTAGACTCTTATCTTGTTAGTAAGGGGAATGGTCGATTGATCAAAAATTCGACCATAGAACCCACTGAAGCACTGTCCAATCCCAATAGAAGAGACACATATGTGATACCGGGAGGCTCGTACATCATCAGTGAGTAGCGGTTCTCAATTGATATGATATGATACATAGTCTCACAAGGGAGTTCGTCAATTCACTGATTAGTTCGAATCCTTGCAAATAACGTGAGCTACTCCACGAACTATATCGCCCTTCTCCAACAGCTGGTTCACATTGGTGTTCACGGAATTGTATCGATACGCTAGAAACAACCAATATCTCTGACAAAGCTTCTCTCACTCTGATTCTCAGCCCGGAGTATTTATGCTTCACTGTCACGTGGGGTGGCACCTAGGATCCGGGTTTGCAGGCGTCCTTGTGATGCAGCCTCGAATCCTATCGACATGGCAAGAACCAGCGGTCAACCGAGCCTTATGTCGCGTCACTGCAGGCAGTCACCAAAATGACACCGAGACTGAATTCCCCATCATCCCACAATTATGATTTCAGGAGCGTAGTTGTTGTGAAGGTTGTCGATAAGGGGAAACCAAACACTGGAATTACTTCTCTGGCGCAGCTGCCAATTCTCTGGCACAACTGCCAGAGGTTGCGCTTGTGAATAGGCAATTTTATTTTCATTGGGGTCCGATACTTTTCGTTTTTTCGTTTTTTTGTTTTTTTCCAGCATAGTACTTTCATGCAATATTTCCGATTCTCAGATATATTCATTTTTCGCTTTTCAAGTTGTAACCCCAGAACATATCTCACAAATCTCAAGTGCCACCATAGGTTTTCTTTATGTTCCGGGGTGGCACATACAAAACAAGCAGCAAAAAGGCGTGAGTTGGGACCGCCGAATTGGGAGCAAAAGAGAGCCATGCCTCATACGACTCCTCACCAGCACCACTCCTCTTTCCTTCGGGTACGGTTACCCGTCAATTTAAGTTCAATTTTAGATTAGCAGTTTGTTCTCAGCCTTGCAGAAAGAATCGGGATATATCCGAAATGGTTCAGGTCAATTGGGTCGCGTTTTTTGGAAGCAGTTACCTAAAGTAACGACAGAGGTTGAAGGTTACTGGCGTGTGCGGTCAACTTTGAGCTGATAGGCCATCTGTTCGCCATGTGGCCCCATTCTAAGGAAGGAGATGAGAAAGTAAGAAGGCAAGATAGTTGGCCTCAATAAGGCCTATCGAAATGAGGGGGGTAACAAAGGATCACTGGGAATTTATCTGCCAGTATGCTTGCTGTGAAGAGATTTTGATACCGTATTATAAGATTCTTATTAAATTATCACAAAATATGCAAAAAAGCCACAAGATCCACTAAGAACTTTTACAATCACTCTTCAGCACGAACAGTCTGATCAGGAAGCAATTGACATGAAACTCCTGAACATATCTTTCGGCCATCTCTTTAGGAAACACGTCTTGATACTTCAATGTGAAAAATTCAATGAGCATGAACTTGATACAAAACACCGGTCCAGATTTTACATCAAACAAAGTCAGTATGCACATAGACAGAAAGGAGTGGCCTGTATCAAGAATTCTATGCTCACAATTCCTAAGAGTTCTTGACCGTCCATGGAAGTGGGCCCCAAAATTTAGCGACCAACTCTGGTCGAGCCGGAGTGCTGCCGTCATCGTGTGCGCTGACACGAGTACCCAAAATTTTAGTACCCGATCTTTTAGAAAGACCAGAGGAAGACTCCAATGCATCTGAACTGATTTTAAGACCTCTGGCCCTCCATGGTCGTGGTATCGCGAAAGCGGAAACGGGGGAATTTGTTTTGTGATCAGAAGTGATGGGCTTTCCATCTTTTGCTATCATTTCTGCGTATCAATCGCGTCAGCTTTTTGTGGAGAACCTAGACTGGTTTTACATCACTTCACATGAAAGAATTGGACTATACCTTTCACCGGAGATCCGCTGACTACGGTAGCCGCAAGTAGCGCTATGAAGACAACTAGCAACGCTTTGAACCCGACTATCATCATTTTAAATCCTTTACTTGAAAAAATCACTAAGTCAATGACGCAAATCAAATCAAGTCAGCATAGCAATTCAGTTTATCAATGACATAAATCATAGGGACAAGAAGGTAAATTCACCCTTCTTTGGACGGAAAATATTTCAAGTGAACCTGATCTAGCGGATGCAGCAGTGAACCCGGATATTACGTTCAACACCTGCGACTTGTGAACTTGAACTACAATCGCCAAATGATGAGCACACGGAGATAAAGGTTTGGAAGATTAAGGAAAGCTATTGAGAAGCCGCTTCTCTGTCTGTCTCAAGAGAATCTTAGGCACAGGTCTTATTTATAATCTAGACGTCTCTGGTGTATCCTATTCACCGTCAAGTTCGAACTCCTGGCAAAAAAAGATAAATAGAGTCACAGGTCAACCTTACATGAAAAATTGGATACACACTGATTGAATCTCATCAACCCAGGAGATCGTGCAGACAAAGGACTTCTAATCTGAAAGGTCAAATCAGAAGTTTATTCACGTAGATTAGTTGAGTTTGATCCAAGCGAGAGCGCAAAGCTCGTAAGTTCGACATAAACCATCATATGATCCCTTTTTCATTGACCTCGTCTCATCTATCTGTTCTCGAGTACGTTTGATCAGCAAAAGACATGTCTCTACTTGCAAATTAAACTGTCGGTATGCTTTTACGAGCTTCGCCTGCTCGGAAACACACAGTTGAGCGAGAGATTTCTACGTGGGGAAACAGAAAATCCACAAATAATTCTAAAAACCTATGGCCATCTGCCATCCACCATCATCTGGTGCAGTCGGGCGTCCGATCAGTCTGTTACAATAATCCTCGTGAATCGCACCGGTGGTGAATCGCCTGCATGACTTTTGGGGGAAGTACTGTGGTTGATTGGCGATATCGGTGAACAACTACTTTGATGACGGTAAGTACCTGCAGATCCGGCGACACCCTCGGTGATGGTCCGTTCACAACCACACGTTCCTGATCCTGCCTCGGCTCCGTTTATTAAGAATGTTCAAATGTAAAAATGAAAATACTAGATTAACTAGATTCAGCCCGGTGCTTGTATCCCTGACCGCCCGGATTTCAGCTGTATTTACTCTCAATCTCACACCATGCTATGTCGGTACATGGCTGGACAGGTAGTCCTGCGGTGTGTATTCCATAGAGCAGCTGTTTGGTTTGGTGATAATGAGTCTCGGCTTTGAGATAACGGGTCTCGGTGGTGAATTCTTGAATTTCGGCTTTGAATTCTTGGAGTTCGGCTACTCCAACCGGCTTGGGTTGGTGTGGGACTTATGTAAGTGATCAATCAATCAATCAATCAGCATCAACATCAACATCCAAATCCTTTAGAGAAGAGGATTCAATCCAATATCTTATCTTATCATCAGAACTTTTAAATCAATCAATCAACCAATCAATCCATCAATTAATCAATCAATGAACTGATATTCTTATACCAGTCTTATCTTATCATCTTGACTATCACTATCAATCTTGTCTTATCATCTTAACTTCTCATTAGTTGATACATCATTACTCTTTGCAAAGGAACTACTTAAGCTTCATCCTTCATTCAGGTTGACCAATGATCATGACACTATCAATAAATCCTCATCATTAAGGAACGTAGTTCCCAGGCTGTTTTCGTCAAATTGAAATCTACATACACACCGCATACGTCTGACATTATCTCACATACAGACACTCTTACCAATTGAGAATACCAGAGATCATAACCCACATCACTTATGTACTCGTACACCAACAACAACTGCCTACCCATCACATCAAAACATTATCAGTTTCCTATAAGCAGGAAGTAAACGACCTCACTCCAACACATAATGCGGTTCTCCGAGATTGTTCAAGAGTTATCTCATTTCCCTTCAGTACTAGCCTCTGTTGCCGCCGACGATGTATTCCGGTTCATGACAGTCGCCTCTCATTTTGCACAAATCAATCAACGGTCCATCCGAATCGACAAGTACAACGCCCCGTATGAATATCTCAATTCCGCCCTCCCGCCACCTGCAGTTCCCGGCACGTGGGAGGTTCTATGGCACGTGTTGTTCTCGACGTTCGCCACATCTTACGTGGAACCTGCCGGCCTAGTCCGAGCTAAAGGACTCAACCGCGAACCAGGCGCACTTCAAATACCTGAACGAACATTCTGGCCACCCTACCAAGAACATTGTCCCAATAACGAGTGCAGGGACTCTGATTCCAGCAGGCAAAAACTGGAAAGAAGACCGGCCATATGTGGATATCTTTACGACCTAGACGGTGTCCATTCGATTCGTCACCATACAACATATTGCCGACGTAAGTTTTTATTATGACAACAGCAGTGCTCAAAGGTGAAAGCTAATTGTACACTCAATATTCAGAATGCAAGACGAGTTTTAGGGCTTCGTACTTTTCAAGCAAACATGGACCCCGAACCTACTACTTGGACACAGTGAGGAAAGATCCGGACTGTATCCAAGTCAATATGCACTACTTCATTACAATACGACTGCTTGATTATTTCAATCACAGCCAATCCTTAGCGCAGTAAGTACGGCACCATAAAAAATTCTTCATACCACCGGCCTCCAATGCTAACATAAACCACAATGAAACCTCAATGATATCAGTGTTTCGATATACAATCTGGTAACGATATACAACAGCTGCCACAAGCTGTCAGAAGAGGCCTCCAACCACTTTGCTGCGGAGACTTTCAAGCCAACGCTATCTGACCACTGTTGCACAACAGCATTGGATGTACATCGTCTTTTACGGCAATTCAACCTACGCAAACGCATGATGAGCGTACCTAACTCAGGTGGCTCTCGCCATCGCTTCCGAGAACCAAAATTGAACGTTCTTACCTGGACCGAACTCGAAGGCAGTCCTTATATTGATCACATGTGCTCAGAATGCACAGAGATCATTAATGACCCCAGAGTTACAGGCGGAGGATTGGGTAAGGCATACTAAAACAAATCATAATGAAATCTACAGACAATGAATTAACATAATTTGAGTTTGCCGGATATCAACAGCAATTTGAGCTATCGCTATGGACGGGATAACTATCGGTCATCCACGTTGTAGCGCTACAAAGGAACAACTTATATTGATCAATCCGTCAGACAACAACCCACCACCTTGCACTATTATGCTTGACACACCAAAAGACCGCTATTGCGCCGTCCACACTCCATTGCTAGGCAAACTCTGCCATGCACAGCCATGTACCCGAGACGCAATAGGCAACACAAAGGCCTGCAACTTACCTGAACATCAAGAGGCCCTCCTAATACGATCTGAGAAGACACGACGTTCTCTGGCTGCGTTGGCTTTCAACCAAAGAACCGGCGCAAAACTACCTGAGGATCCAACTGCAGCACTGAACGCCGACACTGACGCATTCAACGAGGATGCTTTGATTGAGCGAGATGAGTCCGATCGCACACATGAAGCTGGTCGTGATGGAGAAGAGACATCTCGACCCGCGGGTAAGAAGCCATTTTGTTCAAACGCTAAGACGCACAACGACATGCTATTTGTTGCTACGTGTGGTATAACACTAGCCAGGGAGACGATGTACCGGGCAGAGTCTGTAATATTGGTCAGAGTAAGTTCAATAGCCCTCGATATTTTCGCTGCATTAAACTTATTCGGCCGTCTGCAATCAGGAAATATTAGAAAGAAAATTCCCCGTACTACCGCCAGTCCAATTCTTCGATAATTCATGTACTTTTGACAAATCGCTTCGGAAGGATATAGCAGCGTCGGAACGACTCAAGGGTACTATCAGACCAGTGGATCCATTTCACATGCGCACTCATTCCGAAAAGGACGCACAGTGCCGCAAAAACAATGACCCCAAACGCTGGCCATTCCTCAAAAAGGCCGATGGTTCCTGGCGATTCAATGGGTCAGCAGCTGAGATTACCAATGCTTGGTATGGTGGGTTCCTTTCGATATGCCGAGGGATGCATGAGATAAATTACCGATTCTTCTTGGAAGAGATGATTCGTGTGAGAAATGATTCTCTCCTCTCAAAGCTTGTACGAAAAACAAATTTCTGCTGTAACATACCTTCACATCTTGCTCAACAAAGCGCTTTCCCACTTTCTGTTTGATATCATTGTTTGAGATTTTCCAACACTAGTTACTTTCAACACCCGATGTGTAAATGATTTGTAAATAATTTTCTTTAAATTAATTAAGGCTTTTTTTCTTGTAATACCATTTTGTTTCAGCATGCCATTGCCAAATTAATAGCAATATCAGTGAGAAAATCATAATGTTGCATATAAGAGGCAGAGATACACAATTGCTTAATCACTACTACAAAAGTCGAAAGACATAGAGTA